CTAAGCACCGGTCGCTGTGATTGATGGTGTCCAATCGAGACGTGGTCAATCGGGATCACCCCGTTTTGAATGAGACTTTTCATTTCAGAATGAACGGCGTCGCGCTATTTTTTCTTGTCCGGTCCGGAGATTGCCCATTGGTATGGGATTTCTGAAGCGTTCATCGCGAACTCGGCGTCCACGTATTCTTGGCCCTCGTCGTCTGAATCCTCGGAGATATTTGGCTCATGTGATCTGCTGACGGCGGATCGTAAGTTATATTGTTTTGCGGGTCGACCTGGTTTGCCCGTCAAAATTTTACGTGGCTTCCAGCAACTCGTCGCGTTTCATTGCCAGGTTCAACCGACGAAGCGGGATTATTACCTTCTGTGATGTCTTCGTCTTGCGTTTCAATGTCTTCATGTGGTGAAGTATGAGGTTGGTTTGTAGGTTCAATAAAATGAGGAATGATTGCGTGGCGATCTTCTTGGCTCGAGGCATCGTTATCGCTGGATTCTCCTTCATGTGAGGGGACTGAATTCGGTGATTCATTTCTGGATGGGAAATTTTGTAGGAATTTGACATTACGTGACGTGCGCACTTTTCTCTCGGACGGTATTCAAATGCGATAGGCCTTAGAAGTGTCGGAGTATCCAATGAAAATACCTTCGATTCCCTTGGGTGCGAATTTGTCCTTGTTGGGTGTTTGGTCCAGAACATATGATTTGATGCCGAATTTCTGTAGATGAGTTACATTTGGACGTTTGTGTGTCCAAATTTCGTGAGAAGTTTTCTTGCCCAAATGTTTAGTTATACAGCGATTCCTTACGTAATTTGCAGTTGCGGTTGCTTCAGCCCAAAAACTTTTTGGCAGCCCTGATTCATTAAGCATGCACCGAGCACTTTCAACCAATGTTCTATTTTTTCGCTCGGTCACGCCGTTCTGTTGGGGGTTGCGCGGAGCTGATAGTCGGCGTCGTATTCCAAATTCTTTCAATATGCTGTCCATAGTGGCGTTACAGAATTCCCCTCCATTGTCAGATGGAATTGCTTTAATCTTCCTTCCGGTGCACTTTTCTGCATAGTGCTTATATTCCAAGAACCTGGAGCTCACCTCAGATTTATGTTTGAGGAAGTAAACCTCGGTCCAGCGGCTATAATCATCAATAAACGTCAAGAAATAACGAGCGCCACCCTGCGATGCTGTTCGCATGGGTCCGCACACATCGGTGTGTACGATTTCTAAGGGAGCGCTAATGTTCGTTTGTTCCGTTTCGGGAAAGGAGCAATTGCGATTTTGCTGGCGGTGCAAACATCGCAGGCAGGTAGAGAATCGTCGGATCTAAAGTCTAAACCAGAAACAGCGTTGTTTTTGAGCATTAGTAGCATACTTTGCCAGTTTAAATGTCTGAGTTTTTGATGCCATTCAGTTGCCTTGTTTGATACGTTGCTCGAGATTGCGCATGCCGCATCCTCTCCTTTTCTCAAACAAAATAGGTTGCCTATGCGATCAGCCACCATTTAATGTTTCCATGGGTGTCCTTGATATATGCACGATGCTTAGTAAACAAGACCTGATGCTTCCTGTCGACTATTTTTGCGACTGATATGAGATTCGTGCGCAAGGTCGGTACGCATAGTGTATCCTGCAAAGTGATTGGTTTATTTTGTGTACCATTTAAAAAAGTTACCTGTACATCGCCCTTGGCCGTTGCGGGGGCGGTCGCATCGCTTGCTACTTTAATGCCACCCTTGAATTGATGCGAATTAGCGAACAGCTCCGAATCGTTGCACAGGTGCGATGTGCATCCACTATCAAGACACTATTTTGGGTCGGAAAAAGTGCTGCAAGCTGATTCCACGAAATGGATTGTTTCATCATTAGCGCAGAATAGCTCGTTCGCTGTGCTGGTACTTTGTGCGTCCGCCTTTGCCTTATGGAAACAATCGTTGATCGTGTGCCCCCTTTCTTTGCAGTAGTTACATTTGAGTTTGACCGGTGCTTTAAAGGCGTTATCTTTGCCACTCTGTTGATTCGCGTTGCTGCTATTTCTTAATGTATTTTTCTTGAATCGTTGGGGCTTGGATAGTAATGCGTTGGAGCCTGTTCCCCCTTCTTTATGTGCCTTGCTGTCGAATTCTTCGATAATTTTTATCATCAGTGCATCGATGTCCGGTAAGTTGTGATTACGTGATTAAGTTGTGTCACATGATTTGATTGCACAACAAAAATTGTCGAAATTGGTCGGTAAACTGTGAAGCAACATGACCGACAGCAAATCGCCGTTAATATCGATATTCAGGGCTTGTAGTTTGTCTACGGTGCTCATGAATCGTGATAGATAATCTCGGACATCGTCTCCTTCGCGCATTTTTTGCAACAGTAACTGCTCTAGGAGAGTAGCTTTTCTCATTGGTCCTTGCGAAGCGTATACTGACTTTAATTTGTCCCATACCTCTTTCGATGTGTCGCAGTTTCGAAGATGCTTGAGCTGTTCCGGGCTAATTGACAGAATTAAATCGGATTTCGCCTTTCGATCTTGGACGATCCAGGCATTGGCCGCAGCCTGAGAAACAGAAAATGCTTGACCTGTGCCGGCTACGATAGGCCTTGGAATGTCGCCGTTCACGTACGACCATGAGTCACTTTTCACGAGCAGAGCTTTGACTTGAATTCTCCATGTATCATAGTTATGCTTCGTTAAAAGCTCAATGCGCAATAATTGAATTCACAATATTTGTGCTTGCCATTGCGAAAGATTCAAGAGCACTAGATTTCACTTTTCAGTTGCGTGGCGACATGTAATCAATGGCGGTGCCGCGATGTCTATTGTTCGTTCGAGCCTTCCCTTTTTTTTTGACTCGCGAAGTCTGGGCCCATAACCTGTTAGGAAAAGGCTTGGAGGAACGAACGGTAATGTCAGACTTGTATTAACCAGGAACACTTGTTAGTCTTTATTAGAAAGCGAATGTATATAATAACACGCAGTGGCAGTAAAAGTCGCCATAGAAACTTTTATAAAGAAAGAGTAGAATACAAAGTAATATAACAAACCAAGTTGGCATCATTGCCCCCGAATAGCGTACAGCGCCACCTTAGCGAAACCAGCGAAAATGTTCGTTCGAAAATAAGAAAGACATTGCAGATGTTGCGGTATTAAATTCTCCTTTTGTCAAGCTTTTAAAAAAATATAGTTTCAATCTGTGCCTATGATTTCTTGGAGACGCAATTGTTAAAATTCTCTTTATCAAGAACATCGTAATTTGCGTTGACTAGTTTTTATACTTTATTGAATTTTTGTTTGCGGAATTTAATACTTATCTATAACTCTCACTTGCGTTGATAATTTTTTTATACTGAGGATGGTCTGATTTCAGACCGAAACGTCTATGTATTGGAATTTAATAAATATATTGTTTATCGCTACTAACATCTTGCGTTCGTAGTTTATGCCTTTTATTGATCTTACTTAGTTTTAGTAATATTTGTTTAATTTGATGATTTAATATTATTTTATTTAATATTTGAGATTAGATTAGTGCCTACTTTTTTTTTAATTATTTAGTGGGGTGGAAATCTTGACCGTCTTAGAGCTGCATATTATATAATAATATATATATATATTTATTTCTTTCCCCTTATTAGTTTATATTTTTAGAATGTATATATATGGAATATCTTTAAAATTTAGGTTAATAGTAATGGTAATAAGAATATATGAGTTTACGTTTTGGGGATTTTTAATAATTTATTTGGCTTTTTTTGTTAAAATACCTATTTACTTATTTCATATTTGTGTTCCTAAGGCACATGTTGAGGCTCCGGTATATGGGTCAATGATTTTGGCAGGAGTATTATTAAAAATAGTGGGGTATGGTTTAATTCGATTAGTTGAGATATTTTATAGAGTTAGAGTACAGTATAGTTGAGTAATATTTAGAGTAAGGATTGTAGGAAGAATTGTTGTAAGAGTACTTTGTTTGGTTCAGGTTGATATGAAAAGTATAGTAGTTCATATGAATTTAATATTATGTAGATTAATAACTTTTTTAAAAGTAGGGTTAATGGGTGTGTATATTTAATAATAGTTGCTCATGGATTGTGTTCATCGGATATGTTTTATCTTGTAAATTTATGTTATGAACGGTCAGGTAGGCGATTATTAATATTAAATAAGGGAATAGTAGGAAATTTACCTTCAATTATAATATGGTGATTTATATTTTGTATAGTGAATTTTTCTTTTCCTGTGTCTTCAAATTTTGTGGGGGAGATGATAATATTGATAAGTATTGTAAATTGAGATTTGGGTGTAATGGGATATTAATATTAATTTGTTTTTTTAGGGGGGCTTATTCATTATATTTATTTTCTTATGTGTATCATGGAAAAAATACTTAATGTGAAGGTAAAATTTATAATTCTGAGTTAAAGGAATTTATAGTTTTAATTATATATTTTTTTCCTTTATTAATACTTTTGTTAAATTTAGTTAGATTTATATAGGTAGAAGTAAATGTTGAAGGGAGTAGTAGAATGATTATTATAAAAAGTTTGTTGAAAAAATAAAGAGAATTTAAGTAGTTTAATATAGAATACTAGTTTGTGGAATTAGAGGTATTGATTGAATAGAGGACTTAAATTATTCTTAATATATTAATATAAATATACTGTTACGTCCTGAGCGCGAGATTTCGGCGGTCTCGAGACGCGACACGAGTTAGCGGGAACG